ATCTCTCGCCATTGGCGGTTTCCAAAATGTGTTCTCGTCCAATGCGAATGCCCTTTTTCTCGGATTCTGTCATGTCGGCTTTATCTGAAATGTGTAATGCCGAACCGCTATCAAGGACGAAAGAACGCGATATTGCTACCGTGTCCTTTGTTGGAGGGGCGCTGGCTGCAGTTTCCTGCCGCGACGAAGCTGCAGTTTCCTGCTGCTCTGGTGCTGCAGTTGCCTGCTGCGCCGTGGCATATGTGTGGAGCAGCACGTCCTCCTGTGGAATTGCGACGTAGCAATAATCGAAGTGGATGTCCTCGTCGTCGTCCAGCCTCCGTATGAGGGCGAATGCATTCTCCTGGGCGCGTGTCAGATGAGCCTGAGAACGGATCCACCACCAATCGGGTATTGGATCTGGAACGTGGACAGCACCGCCTTTGTTTGGTGACTCCCGATACGGTCTCATCTTACGTCGAACCGTGAAAAAATCGATATCGGTAGCAGCAAGGTTCCAGCGAACCTTTAGTTTTGGTGTCGATGTCGTCGCAGGCGGTTTGGTCTTGAGAATCTGGGCCTTTGAGATACCATGTGTAGGTGAAACTGCGAGGATCTTCTCGCGTATCACGTACACTCGGTTGGTGTTCCGAGCGGGAGAGCGCTGTCGTTGACTGGACTGCGATGTCCGACTGGAACGGGAGCCAGATCGTGAATCTCTCTGAGACCATCTTGTACCGCCTGGACTACGTGATCGGCCTTGCCGCTGAGACGAACGAGACGGCGATCGCGAGTCCTTCTGGGACCAGCGAGTGCCACCTGGGCTCTTGGAGGGCTGTCGAGTGTTCGTTGAGAAACGACGGTTGCCCCCCGGACTCCTGGAGTAAGCCCTGCCCCCCGGACTCCTGGTGAAAGATCGTGATCTCTGCGACCAGCGTCTACCACCTGGGCTTCGGGAGGGGAACCTCTGTTCGCTTCTGGGCCTGCTGGGGCTGCGAGGCGGCGTCTTGAAGCCATTTTTATAGTGGGCAAATTTGCAGGTATCCCCGTTGGTGCAATTGCCCTTCTGATAGAAGACGCAAGGATGCACGTGGTGCCGGTTGCAACCAGTGCGCTGACACATATTACCCTTTGCGAAATCGTAGCAAAAATACCTGGCAGCTGGAGGCCTCGAAGTAGCCGCGCCAGAGGCGCTGCCTCGAGCGTCTCTACGATGTTGAGATGATTGGCGATTCCTGGGAGGATCACGAGACGACGGGTGGCGTCTGGGCGGCGGTTTCTTTTCAGCAGTGTGCAAAAACTTACATGTATCTGGACGGGGACACCCTTTGCCCTTGAAGAAAGGGACGCAATGTGAGTTGCGGCTTGATTGTTTGGTCTTAGTCTTGGCAGGGGCAACGGTGTCCCGCGATTCTTTTTGCATGCTGTATTGATTCTTCTGTAGCTTGTGTAAATCAAGAACGTCGTAAACTCTTTGATGGAGCCAATTGTATGTCTTGATCTCCTCTCCGTTCTCATCTTTGGCTCCAGCCCTGGCTTTGTTGTATTTGCTCATGTCTTCTTTCATCCAAGGATGTCTCTGAACCTGAGTACGAAAGAGGGATTCCATGATGTACATCTCGGGTAGTTTGGTAAGAGCCAATAGTAATCGATCCCATTCGACGATGAAACGCTGGAGATCGTCTCCGTGCATGCGTAGATTCTTAATGCGATCAAAGTCGTGAAGGTGATCCTCGGCAACGGTGACGTCAAATGAACGGATAATTTTCTGATATACCTGACGTCCTTTAAGCATGCGCTTGGCTTTGTGTTCAACGTCCTCTAACAGCTTCATTTGCAATCTTAACTCATGTGGGAGGATCTCGAGAAGAGCGTCAGCTAACTTACAGTCGAGGCTCTCGAAGTCGCCGCTGTCGGCGAGATCCTCAAAAGTCATCTCAGGGTTCTCCGCTATCATGATGAAGGCGTACGCCTGAGCTGGGCGTCCAGAGGCGTTTCTGAAACCCTTACGGACTCCGTTCATCCAATCGGCGACTCCTGTGATCTTAGGGAAGCCTGGGACCCGAACACGGTCACTTTCTTTGACTGTGGCAGGAAGTAGTGACCCGCCAGCATTATACGGGGATTGCGCAACGTTGGAGCCGAGTGTACCTATATTAATGGGAGAGTGTGTTCGAAAGCTAGCATTGTCTGCAGCTGTCTCAGGGGCAGAAGGCTGGGCTGCGGTTCCCCGCTGCTCGTCAGCACCAGTTCCTGCCTGAGGAAGTGTCGGCTTGGAAGCGGCCCCAGTAGAACCCCCCGCATCGCGAGCAGCGGCGTCAGGGGAGGGGCGGCGATAGCCGGTATCAGGTGTATGTTTGGCTGCGTCCGCGATGTGATCTTGTATTGTTTGCTCAAGCGTGGTGTTGTCTGCTTGCAGTTTTGCGACACAATCAGACAATACTTCCCATTCAGCGTGTTGATGTTTCTGAGTGTCTGTGAGGAATCGAACGTCATCCTTATTGTGGGTAGTAAGATTGACAATTAGAGTACGCAGGTCAACATTCTCGTTAGCAAGACGAGCCATCTCAGCGTTCATTTGATCCAGGCGCGCATTCGCGCGTGCTGACTCGGCATCCCTCTCGGCCACAGAATCCTGCAGCTGCCTTTGCAAGTGGGCCACCTCCGCTCGGACGGTCTGTAGAACAGCTGCCGTCACGTCGGGGTTGGTCACCGTAGCAGTGGGACTCACCTGCGCAGTATGAGCCCGTGCGACCTGCAGCTCAGCTACGGTCTGCTCGAGAGTGTGGACTCTGGATAGAAGCTGTGGTACATGTTGAACCTGACAGGAAGAGAGTTGAGCTTGGAAAGCGTTCTCGGCCTCACATAACTTGCCATACAAATCTTGCTGAACGGAGCGTGTATAATCGTGCAGCTCACGTGCTGCAGCTTCCGTTTCACCACGGATCGTGGCAATATGACCTTGTAGTGCGGTGGAAGGCGCTCCGAAGGCACCTGAAGCTGTGCCCGCGACTTCTCGCAGCTCTTCGCGAAGAATGCGTGCACGTTCATCGTTGTGTTGACGAATCTGAATGACGCTAGCTTCAAGTCGATCGAAGTCGGACTTGACGGCCACAAGTTCGTTAGTCTCGCGATCTCGTTGTGTATCGAGACGCTGCATCAGCTGTTGCATGATCCGACGGTCCTCTTGGACGGCAGCGTCCAGGATCGAAAGACCCTGTTGGAGGTCACTCCGGAGGACGGCGGTATCAGAGGCCACAGCCTTGTGGACGAGGCTAGTTTGATATTCAACGTATGTGTGCACGTGATCTCGTAGCTCAGCCATGTCTTGCATTGGCAGAGCCTCCCTATGTCGGTTTGCGGCTGGGGAACTATGGGGCCTAATACGAACCCCCCGGACAGATGGACTCCTACTGCCGCGATCGTCTCGAATAATGTACTGTTCGGGGCCACGCCTGGGAGCTTGGCTCTTAGAATGAGCACGGCGACTAGGGCCATGGTCAGAAGTACGGTTTTCGAATTCACGGACTCGCTCATAAACCTGTCCCTGTTCAATCCCTGTTTGTTCGGGCGTCCCATGGCCCCACCTTCGTGTGCCTGTGCCTCTCTCTCTCGGAGGGGAGGAAGGTGTAGGCATGTGTGGAGCTGCGGTATCCCGCTGCACTGTCTGGGACGGTGCTGCGGTGGCCCGCTGCGCTGTTTGTGGCGGGGCTGCGGTTTCCCGCCGCGCTGACTGGTGCAGTGCTGCGGGAGGGACGTCAGATGTGGTATGAAGGGTGGGGAATTGAGGCGTGAGCCCTGGAGCGGCGTGTAAGAATCGCTGCTGTAGGGGGGTCTGATCTCCAATAGGAAGTGGGGGTGCGGAAACGCTATGAGCATGCAAGGCACGAAGCTGTTGCAACTCAGCTTGCATAGCGTGGAGCTGAAGTGCCGCCTGGGTGGGCAACGCTGGCATTGCTGCGGTTTCCCGCTGCATTGACTGCGCTGCACTGGGTGGGGGCATAGCTTCGTCCAATCCGTCGGTTCCTGGAGAGATGGCCATGCGGGCCGCAAAATTGGGGGAAGCTCCTAGAATATCGGACATATCAGCATCCAAGTTGCGCGCGACTGACGGCGACGACTCATCATGCGGGAGGACGGACGACTGGTGTCGTGCCGTCATCTCGCATAACTAGTCCGATGTCGTCAGGTCGGGGCGCAGGTTGGACGCGATGTCGGATATAAAAGAGAAGGCTGATAACCTGTGTGAGGGTGAGGAGGACCAATGGACCGACCCCACCCCCGAGTGTCCGTCGGTAGACGATGAGGGACGATGGTTTTACCCAACGTACCTCCAAGTATCGAGTACCTGTCATCCGAGCCAAGAGGGGCGATGGATATGAGCAAGATAGGAGGAAAGTAGGGGGATTCACACACAGCAAGAGATCGCTTCTAGAATATATAGAGCTCGCCATAACGCCCGTGGCCAGCCCCGCCCTCCTCCTCCCTCTCCCTGGTCACGCACGGTCTCGCCAGGGGAGAAAGAACGGTCTGCAAACATTATGGACAAACGAGCCCAGACATGCGATGTCTTGATTTTGTTCACTACAGTGTCCCCAGAAGTCCCGACCCTCCACCAGGACCAGCCGTTCGTTCGCAGTCGCTGTGTTTTTGTCGATGTTCCCCGACCCCCCCACACTGGAAATGGAGCGCCAATTGAGGCCTTCGGGTTGGGTTGGGGTGGTTTGGTGGGTGGTGACTATCCTAGGGGACCGAACTCTATACACCGACGCCTATGTCTGGTCTCACACTGAATCTCGCACAGGAAAGCGGATCCAGGTGTATACGGGAGCCTGGTGTATACATTCCCCGCTGTTCCACCAAGAGAAAAGGGAAACAAGTATACACCACACCACCCCGACGTGGCCCCCGACCCTCAAAAAAGTCCTGGGAGTGAAAAACCGCCCGCCACTGGTGATGCAGATGCTCCGGTTTCCGACATCCCCCCCCCCTGTCGTGGCCCCCGACATCCAGGCCGCCGCCTGGCTGATCTCGGCGGCCTCCGCCGCCGCCGCCGCGCGCGCCTCCTCGAAGAGCTCCGGGAGGGGCGGCCCGGCCCCCGCGGCGGGGAGGGCAGCGCAGCGCAGCCCCCGGCCCGCGAGGTGGGCGGGGAGCTCGGAGCGCCTCGGCTGGGACGCACGGAGACATGCTGCTGCCAGTTGTGCGTCCTCCTTGGAGGCGCGCGTCCGACCCGAGCACAGCATAGACCCATCTTGTAGTATATATATATATATATATATATACATAGAGAAAGAGAGAGAGAGAGAGAGAGAGAGATCGTCTCCAGAACGGGGTGGCCAGAAAGCGCCCGCCACGACGCATCTGCTCCAAGATTTCTCGGTGCGTGCGTCGCCCCCGGGGGGGGGGGGGGGCCGCCGCACCGCACCCAAAGCACGAGCATGCCTGGGCGACGACGGTCCCCAGGCGCCCTTGCGCTGCGGGGAAAAACGGAAGGTGCTTCGCTTCTTTGAAGGGGCCCCAGGACACACAAATACATACACACAAATAAAAATATTCCCCGTATTTTCCCATATTTTCTAGGTTTCTGTCTTCCCCCCCGCTTCCGATATTTTCCCATATTTTCTGGGGAATCGAGGATGAATTGTGTCTGTGTGTTTCTTTTCCTCCTGATTCTTGGAGCATCCGGGGGCCCTCACCGGGCCTCGGGACCGTCGAAAAACGACTCCGGATGAAAAACTGGTCCGGGGGAAAGGGTCCAGACCTCTGGGGGTCGACGCTGCGAAAAAAACACAACGTCGGAGGCCTGGGGTGGGAGCTCGGAAGTGTGCGGTCGGGCGTCTGATGCCTTCGGCGTCCTGGAACCCCCTCCTCCGCCGCCGCACATCTTTCGCAGCGTGATCCCCCAAAGACCTCAACCTCTTCCCGGGGGCCAGTTTCTCATCTCGTGTCTTCCTGTTGATGAGTGGCGACATCTGAGCCCAATCCCCACCAATCATCCATCCTCCCTGAATCGATGGGCGGCGGGGGTAGGGTTCGGAAGATTTCGCCACACATTCGAAGAATTCCGAAACCTACCCCCGCCGCCCATCAAGTTGCCTGAATCGTTGATCGTGGAAGGTAGGGTTCGGAAGATTTCGCCGCCGAGCCTCGAGACCTACCCCCGCCGCCCATCGAGTTGCCTGAATCGTTGATCGGGGAAGGTAGGGTTCGAATTTCGCCGCCGAAACTCGGTGCGAGCTCAGAAACATACGTTTAGGACCTCTCGCTTATCGTGTCGCGGCGGCGGCCCCCCGAACAAGCGGATAGCATGTCGCTCCGCTCCGCGGGGCGGGAGGCCGGAGAGAAAGCTCGGGACGTTGGCGCCCGGGGACCGGGGAGTGGTTCGCGTGTCGCGCCGAAGCGCGGTGGGCCAGCACCGGCGGAGCGACACGCTAAGCCAAGAGTCCCGATCGTGTACTGCCACACCTGCAGCACGGAAGGATAGGCAACCACCTGAACCCCACTGCTGCATGTCAGATCTTTGAAAGTCTGGCTGGGGTTCAGAACCTGAGGGATGTCTGCAGCCAAGGGAACCCCAGCAGGGGTGTCCGATGCCTCAGCGTCGGTTGGACCCGCAGGGGTAGGGTTCGCAACAAGTGGTCGCCAGCGAAAACATCCGTTCACTGCCAAGCGCCTCGCCTCAGCGCGAACGCGAGCGCCAGGATCCCATCGGGGCCGATCCGCTGGCAGAGCGCCGCGGCAGCGCCGGCGTCGAGGGCCAGCGTCCGGCTGGCCTCGAAGCCCGTGGTGGGGAGCGGGCCTGGAGGAGCGTTCGGAGATCCTGGCATGGCCTCTTGCTGGCACGCGCGTGGCGCACGCAGCCACGGGCCAGAGGCTTGAACCGAACCATGGACCAAACCACTTGGGCTGATGAAGCTACACGTCGGTCGGAAGAAGCAGGTAAAAACATGAAGCAGGAAGGCGGGAAAAGCAGGTTGGGGTCAGGCCCTCGCGGAGAATCACAAAACGCGGCAAAAGGATGCCGATTCTTGAGGTTGGCAGGCGCTAGAAGTAGATTGGGATCTGGGAGTCCAAAAACACCTGCTTTCAACGACCAGCGTGAACGGACGTGCGTGCAAATGCGCGTGCGCGCGAGCCTGAATTCTCGGCGTCGGCGCTGCTCGCAGGGGCGAAGGAGGGGAACGTCGGGGCTCAGAGCCCCAAATGCGGGGCCCCGGGTCTGGCCAAGGTCGGCGCGCTCCCCCAAAAGCCGCCGGCCGCGGCAGGGCAGCGCGATTGATATCGACTGGAAGTTGGGCAGATGCCCGTGCACGAGGATGCATGCATGCAGGCGTGTGCGTGATCACGAGCGCATGCGTACGCACACTGTCAGCGAAAGCAGGTTGAGCGAAGCAGAGCTGCAACCAACAGTCACCGAGCTCAATGGAAATCGACACCACCGCGAGGCTGTGCTGAGCCGATGTCATGCCAAGAGTCGCCGGATTCCACGCCAAAGCCAATGCATGCTGTGCTGGTCAGTGCCAACAAGCACTGGCAGGCACATTGGCACCGTCAGTTAGCGAGAGGTAGCATTGGCACCGTCAGTTCCTGACATCAATACTGCAATTGGGCCGATCGATTGTCAGCGGCAGCAGGTATCACTTCTGATCAATCAGATGGATGGAGGACGACATCCATCAGCTGCATTGCTGGAAATGGCAAACCCTGTCGGATTTCGGGAGGACTCGGGCCGAATTCGAGGATCCAACTTAGAACTGACCCGGGCATTCCTAGCCCAAGTCAGACGACCTACTGCCCAAGTGGGACCAGTTTGGGCCGCCTCGGGCCCGCCCTGAGGGCGCATCTTGCGGCCATCTTGGCAGACTTGCAGCCGAGCGGGACCGTCTGGACCCACCCACCCCCTGCTGTCCCCCTGCTGCCCTTCTGCAGCGCTCTGCCACCAATTGCGCCTTGCACCTAGTTCTTCTTGCTTCGCCCTGCTGCCTTCTTTGACGTGCGGGCACGAGCGAGCGCGACGCCGCGGGCGCTCGACCCTTTCGGTGGCATCTCATGGGAGCCTCCCATCCCATCTGTCGGCTCTGGCGAATCGACGCTAATCAACGCTAAATCGACGCTAATCGACGCTAAATCGACGCTGACCGACGCTAGCCGACGCTAAATCGGAGCTATCTCTTCGACTCCCGGACGCTAATCGACGCTGATTGACGCTAAAGACGGCATGAAGAGGGCATATCAGGCTCCCCTGATCTGCTACATAAGACTCCCCCCAAACAGGACTCAGTTCGGAACCTTGGGGAGCTGCGCGACCCTGCTGCACCTCCTGCTGCCCCTTGCAGCCGTGCCCCCGATTCAGCATCCTGGGGTGGGCAGAACTGGCCGTGAGGCCCTCTGCAGGAGGCCCGAGAGGTTCTCGGTGGCGGCACGCGATGCATGCACTAGCCAGGTGGGGCTGGAAGCCACAGAAGCTGGAGTCGGTGGGTGCGGGTACGCATCGTCAGCGGATGCTGGCACTGCTGCTGCTCGGCGAATAAGGGAGAAGCTACGCGAACCCAACAGCAATTACCTGGCACTTGAGCTGAATTGTTCGGCGACCGACAGCGGTGGCAGTAGCCGGCTGAGAGAGCGAAGCCGGAGGCAGCTGCATCAGAGGAAGGAAGGAACAACGTCGGAGCCAACGCACGCGAAAAAGATGAGCAGCGGCAGCAGAGGGCGCAAAGCTGGAGCCTGTCGTACAATGCTGGAGTCTCGGAGACGAGACTCGGAGCTTCCAGGGTGCGCGCCGCCGGCATCCGAACGCGGCTTGCGCGCGGTGCGCGCGCGGATCCAGCGTCCCCTGGCGCAAGAAACGAGAAACGGGTGCGGACGAGGAGGGGGCGGGGAAAGGAGGGCAGCGAGCTCAGACGCTGAGCGGCGCACGTGTGCTGACTGAGGCAACTGTTTCGCGATCGCCCAGGCAACGTGCAGACGCCACCGGGGACCTCTAGAAGCGCACTCCTACAAGGGCACCCAGGTGCCCGGCAAGCCGACATTCAACTCCCCCGCTCCTTTCCCGTCCTCATCACCGTATTCATGTTCCTACTCCCCTTCGTTGTCAGCCCGCCCGCATCGTCATTGACCTTCTCCTCCTCATCCTCCTTCGTTTCCACCTACCCCTCCTCCTCCTCCTCCTCCTCCTCCTCCTCCTCCTCCTCCTCCTCCTCCTCCTCCTCCTCATCATCATCATCATCATCATCATCATCATCATCATCATCAAGTTCCTCCCCATCCTTCTCTACCTCCTCTTCCTCATCATCCACCACCATCATAATCATCATGTTCCTCCTCCTCCTCCTGCTCCTCCTCCTCCCTCATCCTCATCATCCTCCTCTTCGTAGTATTACTATTAATATTATTAGTATTAGTAATACTGTTTCCATGATTAGCATTATTACTATTCGTTTTCTTCTTATCATTACTCTTAGTAGTACTATGATGCTTCTTGTTAGTATTACTATTAATATTGGTTTTCGTATGTATCCTCCTCCTCCTCCTCCTCCTCCTCCTCCTCCTCCTCCTCCTCCTCCTCCTCCTCCTCCTCCTCCTATCCACCCGTGCCACCCTGTCCCTGGCCCAAGCTCAGCACGTCACTGGAGGCTGCACGATTGCGTTATCCTCTACTGGCTGCGGAGCGGCGCAGCGAGTTCGCAACGAGCTTATGGCGGAGGCCCACGGTTGCCCGAAGGGATCCGCTTCGGGAGCCCCCCTGGCCGCCACTCCGATCGCTGCGAGGAGGGAGGGATAGAGCGAGTGACGGAGCCGGGGGGGGAAAGGGGGGGCCAAAGGGAAGGCGAGAGAGGGAAAGGAAGGTAAGGGGAGAGGACAGGAAGGGATGCGAGGGAAGGACCTCCCAGGGCCCCAGACATCTGGCTTCGCGACTTGCTCCACACAGGGGGGGCCTCAAACACTCGGCCCCTTTCCCCGGGGACTGGTTGTGTCATCCCAGATGGTCTTGATCCCAGAGCCTTGCACTGGGCGCCAAGCC